CCTCATATCCCCAAAGGGGATCACTGAGCCAAATTCCAGGACGTTTCCCGCCCAACAATAGTCTCTAAGGCCTCTGATAGATGGGGGAAGCATTATAGACACCGCTAAGCAAGTGGCCAAACTCACTTGCTCGGCGGGACTGATGGTATGCACCATTTATCGGTAGGGTATAGAGACTGGTAGAATATCATAGAGGGAAGCACAATAGATCAAACTGGTCGCGGTGCATGGGGAAACCCACCCTCTCTAAATAACTAACTAACCTTAATGTTATACTGCTAATCTTGTGTGAAGGATATAAACAGTGAACTACCTTGTCATGTAAGTGACCAGTTGAGGTAAAAAATTCTCTTAACGCTGTTTCATATCCATACAGATTGAACTGAGGCAATGCTTGCTACTATTCTAATAGAATCTTTCATCTTCATCTCTCCTACCTAAAAATGTAAATATTTTAATGTTCAAAGCTGTAATTGTATCTGCTGTTTTATAGGCAATAAAACTTTTTTTTCATAGGGAAAAAGAACAGATTGAGAGTGTCTGTGGTCAAGGCACTGACAAGAATATTTGGACCTAAGAGGCAGGAAGATATAGGATGGGATGGTATGGATTGAATTGATGTGGCTCAGGATAGGGACCAGTGGAAGGATCTTGTGTACACGGCAATGAACCTTTGGGTTCCATAAAGTACTGGGAAGTTCTTGAGTAGCTGCACAAGTGGCAGATTCTCGAGAAGGGCTCAGCTCCATGAGTGAGTGAGAGGCAGGAAGCAACAAGGGAGTGGACAAGATTGCATGTGAGGCAGTTTATAATTTGTACCCATCATGAAAACTTACTGGCGTGATCAAATTTAGGAAGATGAGATGGACATGGCATGTAGCATGCATAGGAGAGATGAGCATTGGATGATAACATTAAAATGGATTTAGAACAAATAGGGTGTGGGGGTGTGGACTTGATTCATCTAGCTCCAGATAGAGATGAGTGGGAGGCACTCGTGAACAGAGAAATATACCTTTAGGCGGGAATTACTATCTGATTGACCATGAGCTTCTCAGGAAGAACTCTGCTTTGAAAGTATATTAGTTCCAGTTTTGTATACATGTAAAATAATGGGCAAAGCTATTGTTTTATATGTATTAATCCTTAGTTATGTGAGAAAACACACTGAATGACATAGGGGCCGCGCCATATCTCAAGCGGTTAGTCGCTGGTTTCCCACTGCGACGGCCTGAGTTCAAACCTGGGTCTGGTCAAGTGGGATTTGTGGTGGACAAGTGTCACTGGGACAGGTTTTATCTGTGTATTTCAGTTCCCCTGCCTATCTTCATTTGAGCCATATCCCCCGTCTATACGGGTAAGGGACAGGCTCATAAGAAACGACTTGCTTGTTGGCGTGGTGCAGTATGCCTCCCCAAGATTGGGTAAGGGATCTTGAGAGAGGAAAACCCAGGTTAGTGCGACAGGCCAAGCTGGGCGGATCGACTAGGCAGGAGCTAGTATGGAACATATGGCGACACAGTGTACATATACTCAAATACTTTCCTAAAACATGGAAGTATATTGATAACCTGAGTATACAAATAAAACATGCCTGAGGGGCAGTTACTGGTTATTACATACAGTGGCTGACTGAAGCAGAATTGCACTGCGCCTGGTGGTGCACCAAATCAACTGTGCCACACCTCATGGCGTATCCAAAAACATCCAGTACACATGTACTCAATCAACTTTTCCTAACACAAGGAAGTACATTGATAACCTGAGTAAACAGGTGAACCACGCCTGAAGGGCAATTACTGGTTATTACAACCTCTAACCAAAACCAAAATTCCACCATGCCTTGTGGTGCAGCAAATCAACTAAACCACGTCACACGGCATATACAACCAAAGCCAATACGCCTTATGGCGTACACAAATCCAGTAAGTCACTTACTTGCAGTTTGACCCAAGAAACTCAAACATTTACCTCACAAACCAGCCAACCCCGACTAGCTTGTGAGGGCTGCTTCTCCCCCTTCGTTCCGCGCTACGTGCCGAAACAAAATTTCAATATCCTCAACTTAATTATTCCAAAACCAAATTTAGTCGTAGTGATGTTACCAGACGAAGATGTAAGGGAAGAAGAGAACGATCGCTTATCTTGACTTACCACGAAGGCTCGCAATCACGCTAAGGAGGGGGGGGGGAGACACGTGATTCTGACGTCAGCAGGGAAGAAAGGACCGGCTCGCATCCTGGTGTCCGGAGAGGCCACTCCAAGGAACTTAACAGAGAGGAACCATTGCACAGTTCACATTCCACCAAATTCTCCATCATCATAATCACCTGGAGCAGGCTACAATAGGCCAGTCAGTGGCCACCATGCCGACTGGACCCAACTGGACTCCACCCCCACTATGCGAATTTAAAAAAAAATTTTAACTGAATGACATAATTACATATGCAACCTATGATTAACTCTTTTTGTATGGCATTACTCATATAATGTGCAAATTTATTTCTGGGTGTATACACTGCATTGTCAGTGAGATATAAGACATAGGCCACCACAGGTAAAGCCAAGTTACTCTATCAACCAGGATGCATCACATGTTGTATCTGCAACCTTACAGAAGAAAAGTCCTGTGTAAATATGTTTCGGTTTCACACTAGCATATGTGTACCACAAATGTGTTGAAAATAGAATCTAGCAGCTTTCTGATGAACTGGATGGCTGACAATCACATACCCTCATTCCCAAAGTAGATGGCATATACTAGAGATACTAGTACTATATAAGTTTAGGAATGCTTTGAAAAAACTCCTATTTGATCATTGTTTTTATATTGTCGCGTATCGGGCGTATATCGCGACAAATAAATTCTCGATGTATTCGATGTAGCGAATTTTATTTCACACTCGCTCTTACAATCACCCCAAATCACAATCTGACGATTACTGCTATCTGCAGTATCACAAATAGTACACTCCAAATGCCACAATACAACTGACTGGCTGACTTTACGTCTCGACTCGGCGGCTGTCACAGTACAACTCAGTACAACTCAGTACAACTCTGCGGTAGCCACACTAGNATTACCTGTCATTAGTAACCATATATTTTAAGAATGATTAATTTGTAGATTGTTGAATATTAGTGCAAATCATGGGAATGTCTACTGTCTAGCTTTATTGTTTATTCCATGAATTAGGTCACTATGTGACAGGGAAATATTTGCACGGGTTACTTGAAGGAGATCAAAATTTGCAATGTGTCTTGTGCTGGGACAGTGGGATTAGTGTATTAAGGTGTGTTGCTGTGTTGTGTGTGCATTAAAATTAATATACTAGTGTTATTATCATTATTATTTTATTATTTTAATTTACTATAATGATCAAGTATTGTATATAGAAAATATATGACTTGTCCTATGTAATGTATAATGATCCATGGATGTTAATAAAATACAAATATAACATGTACCATGCAGCTTTATCCTGTGTCAAACAGTTTTAATCCATAATGTTAATGTGCTTTGTAGAACTAGTGTCTTGTTGCCCCACAGGGTGACTCAGGAGGACCACTTGTGGTTCGGGAAGGTGATGTCCACATCTTGGTGGGCATTGTGTCTTCAGGTATTGGTTGTGGCAACAAAGCTTTCCCTGGAGTCTATTCAAGAGTGTCATCATATGTAGACTGGATAAACAGTCACCTGAGATAACTGTGTGGTATGTATTGATATATAGGTGTGACACTGGTCTTTATGTTCCAATTGTATCACTTTGTTTGCTTGTAATTTTATTCAGTGGGTTCCATTGTCTGTGGTTATTAAACCAATATGGGAAACATCCAAGTTTCAGAAATATTGAAGTATTCAAATTTTTCAGCATGAAAGTATAGCCAAAGCTGCAATGTCCGGCATTTGATGATATGAAAAGCTCTGTTAACCAAAAATTGGCTAATTGTGAATATGATAATTAAAAGAGCGAAATATTAGTTGGTTACTTTAAGATTACATATACACCATGTTACATAAGTAATGATGAAAAAGGAATAGAAAGCATGGCAGAGAAAACAGGAAGAGATATCAAGTGGAATATTAAATGGTTGGGTCTGTCCATGAGGTTGCTAGGTACACTAATGTACATATTAGGTATAATAATATTCTAATACCCAGATAATTATGATATCTGCCAACCCTTTGGTCCTGGAGGTGCCAGATACCGAATTTTTGCTGTACTATCTTTTGGGATATGATGCCATATAGTCTGATAGAAGTTTAAAAAGGACCTTATTGCTTGCATACTTACCCAGTTTACTCTTCAGCCCCAAAGAAGGGGGAATATGTTTCTCCAAAATGTTGCTAAACTTCTACTGGACTAAATGGTATTACATCACAGAAGATAGCGCATTTCATAGTTACAGCTGTGAGATCCTCAAATCTCACATTTTCAATATAAATTTGAGGTGATGTAATAGAGTAGATGGAGTATACATTTACTTTTCAATGTGATCCAATGATCCACTTTTTTGTGTGAGGTTTCTTCATCCTGAGAATTAAATATGAGTACCAATTTTATTTTTTCTTATATCCAATCCCAGGTCTTCTTGAACCTTAAAAAAGCTTGAACACTCCAGAATTTTTTTATGTGTCGTATATGCCACAGTAAATTTTTTCACTCGTCACTGAAGAATGTGTATCGACCATTGCAACTACTGTTTTAAGGTGCACTTATATCTTCTTATGAAACTGAGCAAACATTATATAGCAGAATCAATTAAAATCTGTTGGTTTAAATATTGATCTTAAAAAATAAATACTTACTTGGTTCTCTTGACATATTGTTATTGGATGAAAATATGACTCCTTCACAGCACATGTAATGCAAGAATATGTTACCAAGATATAGACTGGCCCTCTGGAAAGATGAAATATTGACCTATATTTTCATAAATAATGACTTAAGTGATGTTGAGTTATGACACTTGTGACATTTGGGTTCAAGCCAAGTCTTTGGTTTTAAATTAAAAAAAAAAAAGTAAAGTACTTATACTAAAACTAAACTTCTGCCAATTTTGAAACTAGTGTTTAGTGTTTATTGCCAGTCCCATGCAATGCTTCCAGTTTCTTTTTTGGGGTACGTAGGCTCGATTTCAAAGACCCACAGGAGAAGGTAAGGAGATGGGACACAATTTGGGACATAGGAATGGTAGGAAAATGCCCCTTTTAGGGACACAATGTGCTTTTCATCATAGGAGAGAAATGGAATTGTGTGAAGATACACGTTTTTCAGGCACATTATTACTTCCAGTTGCAGGAGGAAAAGTGGACTGAATGATTGGCTGGCTGCTGGTCCTCACCAGCACAGTGGTTCTTGGTTCTGAGTCCCACATGACTCATGACAAAATTTTACTCTGACAGCTTGGAAGCCTTCAGAACTTGCCACTACTGCAAGAGTGGTACTGTTAGGAACTTTTATTTATATGATATTATTATCATACTTTCATGACACCACAATACTGAAGCAGTATTTTTATTATCTGTATGTGTGTATTAGTTGCACTCAGTTCTTGAAATAAGCATGATACTTTTTTTCTTTTTCTTCAGTGTGTTTTTAAACAAGCTACTATTCTTTCTGTTTGTAATCATTTCATTGAGGTAAAGGTAAATATGTTCCTTTGCTTAATTAATTAAGCACCATGCCATGAAGGTGTATATGGGCACTAGGTGGAGGAAGTGGTCACCTTTTTGCTCCTTCTGCTTTAACCTCAGCAACAGAGCCCTTTGGAAACCTGGTCCCCAGGACAGGACAGGACAGGATGCTGTAGAGAAGAATAAAAACTGCTCCCCCTGCCAGGTATTGAACCCTGATTACTTGGCTCCCCAACCCTAGCTGGTTGCTATACTGACTGAGCTATTCAGCTATTTAAAATTATGAATGGATATCTGTCACACATATTCTTAAAAACAAGATGCTGCTATACAAAGCAACAACAAGAATAGCTATGTAACAAAATTATTTGTTTCATGTTATGATTTGGAGCCATCCGACATCTAGTTTCAAGTCTGCGGAGTAACTATATTTACGTTATGTCCACTGTTGTGATCAAAAATCAGAGATCTTTTGTGTACCTCATTGCACTTTGGAGAACTCTCGAAACTGAAAGTGAAGTAAGTATTTATTGATGATAATGACCCAAGACACGTTGATGATTAGCATCTTTCATGATTGCTGTACTACTGATGATAAGTGGTTCCTACATCCACTTCTAGTACTAATAGGTGGCATGTTACTACAGCATCAAATTTTAGATTAATCCTAATGTAAATATCTCTTAAAAATATCTCCAATCCTCTTTACATTATCTTACTCTGTGGGTCTTAAGTTGTTTACTTTTATTTCCTTTCTTATCTTTCTGTCCTAGATACCTATTGACTAATGAGTGAATTTTAATGAAAGTGACTATCAACATTATGGTATTAGAAGCCACTTCATTTGTATAACTTTCAGTTTTCTGCCATCAGTAATACCAGCTTGATATCTATTCAGATATCTGAGGTGGACTACTTTATGTAAGGTAATTTTCAATTCATAGAGTATAAAGCAACAACATGGTAGTCACATGAAATCTATGTTTATATGTAGGTTTTATGTTTTGTCTACTGAAACACTGATAATTTTATATGAAGATAGAATATAACTACAAATTCTGTATGAAACATTGTTTGTATGTAAACAATCACAGACATGCTGATGATGTAAAATTTTCAGCTTATTGCTGACAAATTTGTCATAGTGGGGATTTGAACAAGTTGAAAATATGCAAAAAATTAATCACTGAATTGTATAATTACTAATTATTACTTCATAGATGCTGCCAATGTCACAGTATAGAATGAAGCATTTGAAGGAAGGAAGCATCTTAAGTTCATCTCCAAACTCATTATTCACGTCTGCGAACACCATTTACCATAGTTCAAAATTTGCACTCTCCAACTTCCTTATTTAAATTTAATGTCCAGTTTTAAATTATCAAAAGTTAGCTATAAGTTTGCCTCATAGTTGTTCTGAAATCTTGTTTATTGACAAAGTTCACAGTGGAGACCAAATATTATTGAGCCTCGTCTTGCACCGTCAAAATGTCAGAGGCCACTGATGACAAACTGTTGGATAAGTACCAAAAGTGGTACACATAGCACCTTTAAGAGATATATCAGTAACTCTAATTCTGTATATTATTAAGCATTAATCTTTATTATCTGTTAAACAGATAGGTAAAGTTTCTTTGCTTGAAATAAAAATAAATAAATTTATATTCTTTTAATTTCTGCATATTGGGTTCAAAATGCCTGACAGTCATCTTAAGCTCTTACTCCAGTATGAGGTCCATCCTTTCTGTGCTTTCAAAATTGATTACAACTTGTTTCAAGCATTTTAATTGTAATTTCCCAAAGTGATCTAAATTCTGGATACTGTTTTAAGTTTGAGCAAAACACAAGGCACTTGATTTTAATTCACTCATGAAGTCTCAGAACTTAAAATATTTGTACCTTATCTTATGGTTGACACACTATGAAGTTGTGTGGGTTGTACATAACCCTAAACTGGAGGTATACACATTATCCTTACAGAATATAAAACAGTTTAATTTAAATACCTAACAGAAACAGAATATTTTACTTACATTCATAAGAATATAGTAATCTCTTGCCAAAGTTTATTATGTTTATTTGCTCAGAAGTTCTTGTGACACCTTTCTCAATTTGTGGAATGTAGGAATTTCACTTATAGCTGAGAATGAACCGATGGATAATGTAACCACACACAGTTTGATAAGCGTAGATGCATTTTTATAGTCCCAGTTTTATAATGTTTTTCACATCTCCAGAACATTTGAATAATTTGGACAACCACTGTTATTTTCTTGTGTATTCGATGTTAGTGCAAGAAAGGAAATTGAATTGCATTTCATCTTTAAATGGTAGTGAAGTGAAAGTAATTGATGACCTGCAGATTTACGTATCCTGAAGGTATATCCAGTTAAATTAGACATGTCAAAATTACATTTCCACAAGAAAACATCCACATTGGCAAGAGATTACTCTGTATATCAGTCACTTGAATTACAACACAGCCCTATTAATCTCTACACAGTTGTTGCTAGTTATTCATGCATTAAATACCAGTGTGTGGTGGGGTGAGAGGACTCCAACAGTCTTGCCTTGATGCAGGTGACCCTCCCCCACCATCCTCACTGTAATTTTCAGACATTGCTGGTTCCACTTTCTCAACACTGTGATGAGCATAGAGGGGTGGAGTGTGGCGTTGTGGTGAGCCCACAGCATGGTGGTGTCCTAGAGGATCATGACTCTGGTAGTCAGAAGGTGCTGGCGGTTGTTCCTGAATTATTGGGATATATTCTGGTGATATTGTGGTGTTTGATGGTTGGTAATGCTGGTGGTAAGTCTGTGCAGAGCCGAGGATGATATCTGGACTTGTGCTGCCAGGTGGAACATGGTGCCAACCACCTGAATTGCCATAACTGGGTCCAGATGGCATGGCACTGTTCATGATTGGATGGTGGTGCTGGATGTGGTGTGTTGGAGATGGGGTGTGTGGGGCAGCTGCATGGGGAGATGGGCCATGAGGGGGTGAGGATGACAGAGTGGTAGGGGTGGAGGGCCAGCTTATGGTGCTGCTACCTAGTGTTGTTGAAAGTGGCTGTGATGAAACAGACCATGCAAAACTGGCTGCAGGTGGAGAGAAGACTGGTGCTGTTGTAGCCTGAGGCTCAAAAGCTGCTGAAAATAATTAATATATTGTGGTGATAAATTCCATCTTGTTATTGGTATTACATTTGGGAAAAATTAAACTTATAATTATTTGGAAAAGAAATGGCTAAGAAAACGTTTATATTTACCATAGCTGAATAGAGCATCATGTAAAAAGGAATTTTACCATTTATCTTCTTCACTTAATATTCTTACAGTTGATTAAATCAAGAATGTTGAAAGTAACTGGAATGTAACATGCATGGGAAAATAGGATATGCTTAAGAAATGGTGGTTGATAACCTTCATGGAACTAAACTGGTTGGAGATGAAAATAGGTGTCTACTGTATGATGCTTGGACTTGAGTTCTCACACTTTCTTGATAAATTTACTTACCAGAGTGAGGTGGCGAGTGAGATCTCACCCGGGGTGGCTGGTATGGTGAGCTACGCTGGGTGCGTACTGCAGTGGCAGACGGAAAACGATCGCAAGGTGCCAGAGGAGGTGGTGGCAGTCCAGGATGATGTGATGTACCAGGGTACACACCCTGTGGCAGGAACCAGGAGCCATCTGTTGAACAGATTTTGTGATGTTGCAAAACCAACATTTCTTGTACTTCTTGCATCATCTGTATATTGCATGGTCTGATAACCACATTTTAAAGGTAATGGGATTAGGATATTTAGAAAAGAAAACGTTATTAAATAGGACAGGGATGGTGAACCATTGGTACTGGTCTCAGTTTGGTACAAAGTATGATCTCATGAGGCACTGGTGACTACACATTTTGTCTGTGTTGCCACCTAGAGCAATTTAATAATTTGCCAAGTCATATTTTATATGAGATAAATTTTTTCTGTTATTTCATGTTTTCATTTCGAATACTGAAAATATATAGTTAACTGGAGGAAGACACCTACAAGGAAATGGAATGTTGTATATTTTCTTTCCTTCCATGCCCCATTTTCCATTTATGTTTATCTTTGAAATGCAGAATAATTGGAATTAAGGAACTGTTCCACAGATGACATGAAGGTCACATATTTCATTCTCAAAACAACTACACAGAAGTCAGGAACTGAACTGTTTAAAAATGTGCATCAGCAGATATCACAGATAAGTCCACCAGGACTGGTACCTTGATTTGTTTGATAGAGAAGTTGTAATGTAAATTTAGCACCCGGCAATGAAAAGTTGTGAAGCAGCTGTTCAGTTCTTCACTGTGCCTGCAAGTCAGGCTTTGTATTAGAACACGAAGTGTTAAAGACAGTTGTGCCTATGCAACAATGCCACATTGGCTAGTCCACACAAGTTATATTGGGATAACTCTGTAGATAGAGTGTTAGCTAATGTGCCTGAGAGAAACGGCCTATGCTTCTCATTCAGCAAGAGAGAGGATAGTCCTTGTACGGCTGACTGTTGATATATGTGAAGGTTTTATTCCTGAAAATTTCCATATACATCAAAAATATGTAAAACAAGAGATGCACTGAAAGAACACTGAGCACAATGAATAAGTAGTAGGAAACATAGTGGCTGTGTGAAGATGGTGGGGTGAGCCAGGGAAACTGCCTGTTCACTTCACTGGGCATGTACAGCAGCTTCTGTTATGGCCACAGATAGGACATGGATGCACCTCAAGACACTGAAATAAAACCATAGACATGTGATAACATGGGTGACAGAATCATGAGTAATGAGAGTGACTGATACTAATTCTGGACATGGTAATGAAGTAATTATCACATATTTGCCAGGGACCAGACTGTAACCATTCAGTTCCCTGCCTTACTGACTGAACTACCGTCCCTCACATTAAAACGAAGCACTTTGTGTAATACTGATGCATGGTCAGGGACTCACATTGTGTGTACTGTGGCTGTTGTGGCTGAGGATAATTTGGAATGAAATCCCGCTGATAGAAACCATCTGGCCTCTCCTTTGCATCCAAGAACGCTTTTGCAAATGGATTGTGTTTTATCTTCAATGCTGTAACCTGCAACAATAATTAAAATCGCCTATGAATGACATTTCTTAGCTCATAGACTGGATAATGTGAGAAAGGAAGGATTGTTTACTTACCACAGGTCAACTAGCAGAGAAGATAGTACTAGATATTTCATTCAGAGTGTGAAATTTTTTACTCATATTATGATAACAAAATGAAGGAATAGTTTATGCAACAGGTAGAGAATTTAGCCTAGTCTGGTATCTTCTCATTGAGAAATTCCCTTTTTTGGCATGTAAGTCAGCATCCCTCTATACTTCTCATCTGATTTTAACAGGCTTTTTCCTTTGAAGAATAACACAATACATTTAAAATGAAAACTGGATATTCAGTTAAGATCTTTCACTTTATATATTTCTTGTACTTTTTTTCGTTCAAATGCCTTTGATACTCTTCCAAAAATTGTAACCTTTGGTGGACATATTATAACAGGATTCACATAGTTTCACTTTTCACTGAGAAATCAAGAAGCCATGGTAAGAGTTAAGTTATGTGATATTCAAACAGAATATTGTTAGTAACTGAAGAAGCATCATTTTCCTATTGCTGGGCTTGAATGGCAGTAATTTACTGATGAAGTAAGCTTTCTGCTGTATTTTTGATCTGAGGATCTATGTGGTCTCCATGAATGTCTATGTTAACACTACTAGGTAACAATCAAGTTAAATTATGTTTTTTAATTGGAAGATGTTTCTAATTGAACAACCCACCTCCTCATTCTGGTATGCAGTGACAGCTATGAACTGTGTCTCTGGAAAAGGGTAGGTCAGGACTCGCCTCAGTTCAGACCCTACTTTCACCAAGTGGACCCTTGGTTCGTACTTATGTAGAGAGTTTAACATGATCTGCAAAAAATAAAAGATAGTAATCTTCATATTGTCTCAATATAAAATCTCAGTGTTCCAAATAAAGAATTAAAAATTAAACAGACTTCACATGGCTCTAGCAGAAACATGCCTTCTCTGGGTGTATGGAGCTGATAGTAAAATACTGTACCCAAAGAACTTGCTTCAAAGGCTTGGTGAGATGATATTTGTTTTTATCATGCAGGAGAACTATTTCCTCCCTCAGACATCTTCAGTGGAAGATAAGTGCAAATAATCATCATATCAGCAACTTTTATAAAAGATGTAAATGGTTAGTGCTTGCTTTCTGTGTTTCTGTTTAAACTGCCCTTGATTCATCAGCTTTTCTACTTTCATCAGATTTTAATTCCCATAATCCATACAGAGGTAATTAATCGTTACTCATGGGATGTGAATTGAATCGTTTTGATGTGTATAATCAACCATGTGGAACATCTGTTGATTCAGTCTGTCTGTCTGTCTGTCTGTCTGTATATATGAACAACTGAAGAACTGCCAGACAGATTTTCATTGAATTTTATATTAGTGAAGTTGTCTAGGAATTTCAGGTTCCTTTTAAATTTGACGTATTCAATGATGATTTTACATGTATCTTGCTAACTATTTATAATAGAAAAAAATATTTTAAAATAAATTTGTAGAGAAAATGAGGTGAATATCTTTTATTCAATACACATTCACTGTAAATCTTACTTTTTTAAGGTAATTAATTAAAATGGATGTCATGAGTAAATTTATCTTCACTTAACCATAGCCTCCAGAATGAAATTACAGTTAAGAAAAAACAAAGGAAAATTCGTATTGGATTTAGGCTGCATTGAAATTACTTTCATTATCTTCAAGAAATTTTATTATTTTAATCTAGTTCTTTGTAACAACATGATTTTGAACAACATAATAAACCATTTATATATATTTAATTTTATTTGAAGTGTGTAATTACAGTAAATGATGAAGTCTTAATACTGATTGTTTATTCATTCAGTATGTGTATATAATTTTGACTTATCACCAATTTGAGAGAGTATCATTTCCTGAATGAATAATTGCAAGTAAATTTAAACATTTATTAGATATTGTTAGCAGATATTTGCTCAAGAAATTCTCTCAATCTTTCCTGAAACAAATTTACATATTTAATATTTTACTCACCTGTCCATTCCCGTTTGTCTTATTAGTGAGCTTCACCTTAGCAAATGAGACAGGCTCCTTCATCCAGTGTGCCCCAAAGTTGGGTGACTCTGGGTGCATGTAAATAGGGTTGGGTGGTGGAACTTCTGCCTTACCACCAGGCACCCATTCCCCATTCACATATTTCCACCTGTGACAGTTACATGTGAGCATGAAGCATATCACAGAACAGTTCTTTATAGTAAGCAGATCTGGGCTGTCTGTGAAGACAAATTTTGAATGTTGTGATGTAAATACTGTGTGATATGTAAAGGATACTTACATATTTTTGTTCTTCAAACATTAAAATATAATGGGGAGCTGATGGTACAAGGAAAAGATGCTGGCCTCTTGTACCAGAGGTCTCAGATTAGAAACTTGGCCACACCCAATGTGTGTCCTTCAGGTCACCAACCTCAGTTCTCACATTATGACAAGGTCAGAACTTTGAGTGCAGGGAATGCAAAACTATCAGCTAAGTTCAGTATCCTGTATTAACCTACTTTCTCTGTGGTTATTTTACAGTGCTGTCAGTAAATGGACTAAATGGTTTCAAATAGGATATTAGATGAATGATAAACTGGAAAGGATCTGGAAGGAAGCAGTCATGGCTTAGTAGAGGTACTGTCCATTCATGTGCCAGGTAGGAGTGAATGAAACCATGAAATATCAGAGTAATTTATTCCCTAGCTGGGACTTGAACCAAGCACCTCAGTAATTCAAGTCAAGAGCGTGTTTGCTATGCCAATCCATTTAGTCTATGTTAAGTTTTATGACTAATCTACCAGCCACAGACTACCTGTACATCATGCTTCTGTCATTTTGGGATAATGGAATGTACCCACTGGACACCCCATCTAATGTAATGACTCTGCAGTGGGCTTGTGAAAATAGGCAAATTGCCCCCAGAATTAAGCAGTAAAATTTCACCCTTCTTCACTGATGCTGAGAATTATACCACCAGTAGCAGAGCTTGTAGGTTTTATCTGCATACCATATGCCCAAATGGACTAGCACATAATCACAGGAGTAACTTGACCCACATGGGTTCATTTATTAGAGATGAATGCATATGTAATAAAGTTAAAAACTGTCTAAAACGAAACTGGAATTAAATGGAAATGCTTTTATCAGAGAACTTTTGCATTCCAAAGGACAGAGGAGATTAATGTAAATGAATCCACTAAACAGATATGGAGCACAAAATGGACCTAAGAACAAAAAGAAAATGTAAAATGGTGTCCTTGAATATGTATTATGAGATCTGAAATTCTCACTACAACAAACATTGTGACATGTCCATGCATTTCCAGGCAGCGTCTTCATATACACCCCGCAACAGTCAGCTCGCCAATGGACTGGCAAGATGGCTATCACGTGACTTGTTTTCTGTGTTGTCTGTGCTACACAACAATAGGACTGTGTTTTCTGTGCGTGGTCTGTGCTGAGAGGATATGAGATAATATGGGATTGGGAATTGATGTAACTTGATTTCCAGAGTTCTAAGAGAGCAGTAGTATGGCCAGAAGAAGAATTAGAAGACTTAGTGTGCGACATTACATGTGCTATAGTTACAGTAATCTTGAGAGTGTAAGAATTAATTGTAGTTACGACTAGTGAAGATCCAATAAACTGTTTCACTAATCCAAACTTGCATCTTTGTCACTGAAACACATGACAATATGAAGAATAATGTCTTCTAAGATGTATCGCCGTGCAGTCTGGTAGAAGTTTACTTCTTTTTGGAAGAACATGCTACTACCTTCTTCATGGTATAAGATGAAGACAGGACATTCCCTCGAAAAATTGGATAAACGTCTACCAGACTACATGGTATCACATGCTAGAAGACACTATTCTTGATTATACTGTGTATTGTTCTGTGTTCATACTCTGGTTTCCTGGAATGTGTCTAAAAATGATCAATCCTATCACAAATGTGAAAATGACTTCTATTCATTCAGAATCCACAATTTTTATGTGTTTTTCATTCACTACCAAATTGCTAAACCAAATATTGTTGTTTAACATGACACTGTGATATCAGATTACTTATGTTGATGCTTACTGCATAGTGAACGCTTTACAAACATATCACATATGAATGTCCTTTATTTAACAATGAGCATTCCAATCCCTCTACCACATATAATTCTCTTCTGAATAAACTTGATTAATTTTGGTGCATTTTATGTAAGATATAAGGAGTGATAGTGTTCATTTGACGTGGGGTGATACAGTTCAGTGCCATACATAATTCCTTCTGTATATATGTATCCTTATTCATGCCTCTAAGTCAATGCTGAAGAATCCTTGTGTAGCTGATAATTGTTCAGCTAGTGAAGAAATTTCCCACATTTGAATCTGAATATTCGTTACTGTGTTCCATGGGTGCCAGCAAGGGGGAATACAGGCATATGCAATTTATTTTTATTTTTGGGAAGAAATCAGAATTGAAAAATGCGAGGAAATAGATATTAAAACAATTCAATTATTCTTCTATTCTGAATACTCTAGGAAGCTAAATAAAAATAGTCTTGTATGGCTTAAATTTAAGTTTTAAGCGAACTATAAGTTGCCTTCCCCCCCACCACCATCCACCAAGAAAAATCCTGATGACACCAAGAGCCTGCCGCAAATCACTGTCCCGACCCGACTGAATTCAACCCTCACCCTTATTCTGTCTCCTTAAGATATCTATACCTAGGTACCTCACGTGGCATCATCGTTATGGGTAGGCATATCTCATCTCCCCATACGTGCTAAATATATTGCCCATCTCATCCCCCCTGGTAGCTTTCTTACCTGTGTGGATCAATCTGTACAAATTCAAGCAACACACTGTACATGGCCTGGGGATCGAGTCCAGTCACACTCACTTTCACCACTGGAAACATTCGCCTGGAAGCAAGAGCACATTTTTTTTTTCCTTTTTTTTTTCTCTTTACTTTTCAGTGAATATCAGACAGTTAGTATATATTAAATATAATTTGCTCACACGCGTCTTTTATAATCTACAACATACAGTACCTGCCAAAAATTGGACTTTCATATTCCTTTAGTAAATCTAACTAAAGTTCAAAAAGGGGTATGTTATTCCAGTATTACATTGTTTAACTCTCTACCCCTCAATATGAAGCAAGTTGCACATGACATTAATAAATTTAAACATAAATTTAGAAAGTTCCTTATAGAAAATTATTTTTATTCTGTTGAATAGTATCTGGATAGGAATAATCAATTTGATCTTGAGGAATTGTGTTTTAGTTTGAATTCACTAGTTTATTATAGTGTATATTTTAATTGTTATGTATCCTATGTTAAGACAATTTCATGTAATATATCCAGTGCTTGAGGTGGAATGAAAATAGAACCGGGATGTCATCCCGCCCCACCTCAAGCCCTGGGTATTGTACATTGCATTTCCTGCCAAAGAAGTAACAGGATGCGTTTAAGCCATTTAGAAAAGAACCGGGATGCCATCCCGCCCCACCTCAAGCCCTGAATATATCAGTGTAATCTACTGATAATTTCTGTATTCAATGGTTATGTACCTAAGTGGATCAATGAACTCCGTGGTTTTAGTCCGCAAGCGAACTATACCGACCGAGCGACCGCCGCTAGTCGGCGAAGTTTAGCGCCAACTTTTGCGGATAGGGGGTGTCGCGTGGTGGACCCCGTTCCAGACCCACTACTTCTCAGAAAAAATTCTGGTAGCGCCGGGAATCGAACCCAGACCTGTGGATCTGTAACCAGGAACGCTGACCACCAGACCACAGAATAAAAATAAAATAAAGTAAATAAAAGTAACATTACATGTCACTGAGATGACTGGATCAGTAGGCAGATTTTTTAACTTCAACTGGGGAGATACCATATAAGAATATCGGTGGGGGCGCCGATTATCCTGAATGAGGTTTCTCGTGGTTTTACTCAGTTGCTCAAAGAAAATTCCTGGGTAGTACCTTAATTTATGGTGCAACTGCTTCCATCCTCATGCTTTGCAATTCGGTGTTTACTGTCATTCTGTCATTTGATTCTCTGTTGTTTAGTGATAGAGTCATTAAATAAATTACAAATAAATAAAAAGCTAAATAACCGACTAACACTGTGAGATAAGTCCTAGAGAAGCTGGTAGTCACTGAGATATTCAAGTAACATCCCGCCCTTTGTGGAACCTGAGGTCTCATTGAAATGTGCACCAGAACTCCTCATTGGATCCTGGCCTAAAAGTAAAGGAAACGGGTAAATTTACACCTGTCCTTAATTAACTAATTAAACACTGTGTCATGAAGACATGCGAAGCAGTGGAGGTGTAATTGCACCATTCTTGAGCTGGGCACTAGCTGGAAATGAGTGGGCAGCTTCACGCCCCTACCACTTTAACCCCGTGTCCTATTTCAACTAAATCCACCCCACTAATAATACAGATTCCACGTCAACGCAACTATCATTTATTAACTTATGTTCCACTATATGTTTCGACCCTTATAGGGTTATCCTCAGGTGTTGTGATTTACACATTATCATTATTGAATGGTAAAGTGTGTATTCATATTTACATACATGAGCTTAAAATGACTACTTTCTGTGTACATTTGTGTTCTAACTTTTAGATGTTGATTTAAATACAAGATATATATGAACTAAAAGTTACAAATTAAAAATTGCTTTTACTAATTTTTAAAAATAATTTAAAAATGTCGTATGCTGTATTCAGTTTAGTATCAGTTGCTGTAGTAGACGACGCATCTTTTCGTCTGATTTTTCTATTATTGGTTTGACGGAACTGGCTAAGGGTCATGTCCAAGGCGGACTTGGGTAATACCAGTGTTGAAAATTCGAGTCCTGTTGTTTAATACCAAAATATTAGTTT